ATTAGGTTGTTGTTATGCCTCATGTACGGTATATATGCGTCTCTCTGTCCTGTCAAATCATGCATTCTCCCTTTATCAGCTCCCCTATCTCCGTTTTCCAACCATTGCACACAGTCACAACCACGTTACACTCAGTGGCCAGGAGAAGACAGAGTTCTGTTCAGTCTAATGCAATGAAATGAATGAAATGCTGACATTTTGTTGGTGATCTTTGTAAGCTTTTACCAGATTGAGAGGTATTTATGGCCATAGCTGCACTGAATTAACAGCATTGGTAATTACCTAAATCATTTTTTTATGCTTCTGTAATGGTTAAATATGTAGAAGCTCTGTTTTTAATGCTAAAATATAATTATTATTGTTAACCATGAATTTTCAAATTTATTGTTTTACAAAAAAAACTGAGAAAAATCGTAAAGCACATCATTATTTCTTGATTGAGAGGTCAAATTTTAGCTATTTACTTGCATTCCTTAACACAACAATTAGTTTTAGTGGTTAAATGTTACGCTTGATTAATTTCTGACTTCTCAGAGAAGTCCAGTGAGTCATCTGAAATGTGGCTTTATATAAAAAGGTGAATTCAGTTTGAAATTCCTCATTCCCGTTCAAAATGGTAAAACGTTGAGAGCTCACTGAAAATGAAAGAGTCTGCAGTAAAGCACTTCATGATGGTGGATGGTCTCTGAGACAAACAGGAAAAGACAGAAAGTGTTCTCACAGTGTGGTCAAGTATGCTTTGGAGTCAACTGCCGAGACTGATACTTATAAAATGAGGAAGGAAAGTTCACTGAAGCAGATGACCAACACGACACCTCAAGATTTGAATTACGAGAGACAGAAGGAAGCTCTAGATGAGAGTCTGAGAACGTCTCCAGAATGACCACAAGCAGACGACTGATGGAACAAGGCTTCAAAGAGAAGTCATTACTGAGGCCCGCAAACATCCAGAAACGCTTCAGATTTGCCAGTGAGCACAAACACTGGACCGTTGATGACTGGAAGAGGGCACGCTGGATGGATGAGTTCAAACTCTCAAGTACGTGTTTATGTCCACAGAAAAGCTGGAAGGACGTTTTGATGCCAGATGAATTTGCACCCACAGTGAAACACGGTGGAGATTCCATAATGGTATGGGCTTCCATTAGTGGAAATCAACGGTATCATGAACAAGAACGTCTACCACAACATCTTAGTGCATCATGGAATCCCTTCTGGACTGAATCTGATTGGTAGCGGGTTCATTTACAAATAAGACAATGACCCCAAGCAGACTTCAAAGCTGTGCAGAGACTATTTGACCAAGAAAAAAAGGAATCTGGAGTCCTGGGACTGATAGAAGTTGAAGTCCGGTTTTGAATCCTATTGAACAAATTTGGGATGTAGTACAAAAAAGATTGATGGCACAAAAGTTGAATTTAAAGCAAGTCTGTGGCAACAACTAGAAACTATTTGGACCTCAGTAACAACAAAAACTGTCGAAAAGTACATAAAAATAATGGCAGCAAGAATGCAAGCTGTTATCAAGGCCAAGGAGGCCATAGAAGATATGACGTGTTTTGGTTATTATGTGTGAAAAAAAGGACTATTTAGTTGTTTCAGTTTGTTTTTTGCCAAATAAATAACATTTTTCATTTTAAAAAAAAGAGTTTGAAGGATTTCGAACATATTTGTTTTCTTGCTTTTATGACAGGTGGTCTAATAAATATATTAACCACGGTATATGTTGCATTCCAGTATATGCTGACAGGTAGGACAAAGTGCTCACTCTGTTCACAGACGTACTGTAAGATTCTACTTGTCCAGCTGCAACATGAGCTTCATTGCTGTCTTTATTAGTTTAGTCACAACAATAAGGAAAATTAGAAATTACACACTGAATTAGCGTTTAACTCAAACCGGTAACATTTACAAATCGTAGCCAACGTATGTGCATTTTTATGGTACTGTGTGTTTGTTTTGAAATGACACTAGTAACTATGCAGCACACTGCAAATTAGGCACCAACATTTACAGCATCCGTGCCATCGACGTGCTCGGAGTAGGCAGCGCTGCACTGATATGGTGCCTCTTTACAGATCTATGACTTCCAGTTTCTCTCATTGTCTCTTGTGTGCAGTAATTTGTACAAAAACGACGTGTTATTTTCTGATGATTTCGGTGTTGCCTGTGTCCTACTTACCAGCACCTCTCATTGACAACCACTGAAAAGCATCCTGTTCATGCTTTCCCATGAACTCCTTTTGCCTGCCATGGCTTCACTACATGTGTTTCTTCTGCTGTTCATAATGTAAGTAGTGTCTACTGTCAAATTGCAGTTCACAATGCCATTGTGATTAAATTTGCACCGGACTGCGCACAACCTTTCAGCACTCTTGCTGACATCAGACCTTGCAGTTGTGTCTCAGTATTTCACATCACTTCCTAGTTATTGCAGTAAAAATCAACAAAGCCGTGACATTCTTGGGTGCAATAGAGGTCATCCTGTGACTGATAAACGGCATGATATAAATTAACTTAACACACAGGTTTTGTTAATGTGTTAATATGAGCACTGCTTTCAAAGGGATGAGAGGAGCTGACGTGATTAGCTGTGATTGCTACTAGCTCCTAACAAACCCTGTTTCATTGACAGCATCATTTATTTATTTATTTTCTTATCACGCACATGTTTTTTTTAAACATGTGCAGCTCTGGCATTGCCTTGTACTGTACAAGGAGATGAGCGATGAGTGTAAAAACAGAACCCAACATTTAAAAGGGTTCAATATAATCAAGTGGCAACGGAGAGAATTGCAGTTTTAGTAAAGAGTCAAACTATGCATGAAATTTCTGGAGAGAAATTGGTTAGCTGGGGGAGCTTTTAAAATTTAGATTTTATGTAATAGGCTGGGGAAGGCGGGTAGGAAAGTGCCTTCTCTGGGAGAATACATATGAGAGCACGTGTGTGTGTGAATGAACTGGAAATGGGTTTCTGAGAAAGAGGGTGTATGATAGTGAACACAGGAAGGGAGGGCGGGAGATGAGATGAAAGCTGACGAGAAAAGACATTAGGGAATGTGTAGGAACACATGGAGCACTAACAAATGCATACGTCACACTCAATTAATCTCTGTCCATATGAATAATCACACATACAGTATATAGAATTATATAGATGTATACAGTAAGCATATTCATTGGTATACGGTATACAGCCTGTAGTTTCACCATACCTTATTCTCCCACACTGCCTTGCTATCATGAATAAAACAGCGGCTGCATACACACACGTATAGGACGTTCACACACATTTATGTATTCCAACACATTCACTCATTTGTTCTGTACAGAGGCTTGCTCTCACAAAGACACATCTCACTTGAGTTGTGCACGTATGCACATGCGACATCTGCATGCGGTGCAAACACACTTGCGCCCGGACACACCGCAGTGCAGCTTGTTAAATGGAGCATTATTTTTCCTGAGCGGGATTGGCAGATGAGGACAAGCAGACCCATAAGCTTTGAAAATGACATGAAATGATGCACTAATGGCCTAAAAAAAAGTTGCATCCTTAAATGCTAAAAAAAATGCTCTGTAGTTTGCATTTTTCTTAAAAGGGTTTTTATTGTACTTTGCATACTGTATTTGCTGGGAGCAATATAAAAGTCACGAAATGATGTGCTTTGGTTAGTAGTGTAGAGGTGAAGGTAAATTCTGCTGTTATAGTCAGTGAATAAACAGTTTGTATTTATATGTAGAACTCAACGAAAGTGAAAAATGATTGTCCCAAGATCTGTCAAAGTTTCCAGATACTTGTAAACAGTCAGGTCTATAAGTGTCTGGACAGTGATTTAATTTCTGTAATTTTGCCTCAGAAGAAATTAAGATATCATTGAAGTGTAGACTTTCATCTTCACACAGACCCTCTATTTTCACAGGCTCAGAGGTACAAACAAAGATCATTCTAAGGAAAGGGATTATTGCAGGCAATGGCTGCCTGAAAGTTAAAACCCATGGGCATCACCAAATGCTGAGTTTGTTCCCTTTAGATGCTTTGCCATGCCTTTACTGCAGCTTTCTTCAGTTAATGCTTCTTTGTGGGTCTTTCTGCCTTCAGGTTTGTCTTCAGTAAGTGAAAAGCAGCAGGATTCATCTTGATACTTCTCTCAGCAGTCACAACATCAATACACACAAGTGACTCATCTCCATTGGCAACCACACATGCTCATGCCATTACGCTGCTTTCACAATGTTTGACAAAAGACGTTGGTCGCTTTGGATCATCCATTTCCTTCCTCCGACTTTTCCCTTCTCATCATTCTGGTGCAAGCTCATCTTGGTTTTATCTGTTCAGACTGTTGTTCCACAACTGGACAGGCTTCTTTACAGGTTTTATGGTAAAGTCCGTATCTGTAAAGTAAACCTTCTGTATTTACAGTCATGAAGGCGTCTTTTGATTGTAGACTTTGATCTTGATGTGTCTACCTCTTTGAGAGTGTTCTTGACTTGACTAGATGTTGACAATAACAAAGGAAAGAACTCTGCCATCATCAGCTTTACTTGTTTTCTGTGGTTTTCCAAGCCTTTTGCTGTTGCTTGCCAGTGAATTCTCTCTCTCCTTAAGAATCCATGAAATTGTTGATTCTGCCGCTAGCACAGTTTGCTCTGTCTCTCTGATAGATCTGTGTTGTCTTTTCAACCTAATGATAACGTCTAAGTTTGTGGTGTGAAGAGGTAGTTAAAACCTGGACATGTTTCTGAATTTATGAGATTTACAGTGATTATGGATTCTACTCTCAAGTCTGGCACTGTTTCAACCAAACTGGAACAGCCTTTAGCAGGAAATGCTTTGTTTTAGAAGTAACTGTTTATAATAAAGTCGCTGTCTGCCACAGTCATAGAAATTTATAATTCTAGCACTGGTAAAACTTAAAAAAAAAAAATGTCACACCCTCCTAGTCGCCAGAATTTACATCACTATTTAACTGTGACTTATCTGCTGTGTTTTGTTGCAGAGATTTGTTTGCTGACGCGGGGCAGAAGAACAGCCAGTGTCCGAGCCGACACATACTGTCGTCTGTACTCGCTGTCTGTCGACAACTTCAACGAGGTACTGGAGGAGTATCCTATGATGAGAAGAGCCTTTGAGACTGTAGCCCTGGACAGACTGGACCGCATTGGTGAGAAAAACATCTTTTAAGACGTAAATCACATCCCGTCAAAACGATGTGCAAACCAAAGCCAAATATTTCAAATTAGTGAGATTCAGTGACATTGGCAGTATGATTCATGCTGCTTGAAGGCTGCAGTTAGTGTCAGGAAGACAAAAATATTTCAAACCAGAGCTGGAGCTCTCAGACAAAACTTAAGGGCTATAAAAATGTTCTCACTGATACTTAGTGACTGAAATTACTTTCAAAGTCATCTGCATATAAACATGCAGATAGAGCTCTGGTTTTGAAATCCCTGCGTGACTTCTCTTACGCATACAATTGATATTCTTTCCATATCCATCACTGTTCCCAGGCTCAGCCTGGGCAGATGAAAAATTCACAATGAAAGGCACGCCTGTATCATCACTCAGCCATCGCTGCATGCTCTGTTTTATCCTCAGCTATGTTTAGAATGGAAGATAGAGAAATTGCTTTAGGGGGTCTCTTTGTAGAAAATGGCTGCTTTGAAAAGATGTGGTGGGCTGATAGTAATGTTTCTGTGAAATGGTCTCTTGCGTATGTCCTTTCTCCTGGGCTTGATTCTCATGTACACCCTTCTTCCCTAATAAAGTAACTCACACAGCACTGATCCCCAAATTAATTATGTTCTTGATGGACTTTGCACAATCTGATTTGAGGTGTGCAGGTGATTAAGGGTCAGGTGGTGCCAGGTCAGGCTTGATGTAGATACAATACCTCACAGAAACACCTCAACTAATCTGCCACCAGTCATAATACAAAATGGAGAGATTGATCTGGGCCTAATTGCATTTACAATATCTTCAGATTTCACAGCCTTTTGTTAACACCAAATTGAAAATGGCACTCATGTGAATTAACCCTGTCACTGCTAGAGCGTCCATTCAACAATGACTAATGGACTTTAAGGTCGGGGTTGCGCATATTTCCTGAGGAGGGTTGGTCAGCTCTTAGTAAGTCTGTCATAGTGACGCAACTCGAACTTGTCTCTTTGACCTTGTGCATGTCTCACAGGGACTTCAGAGTACATGTGTTCCTCGAATGGAGAGTGACAGAACACAAACAACGAGGCACTTGTGAAATGAAAATTCTAAACTAGTCAATTCTTAAACTGAGTCTCTGATTCTGTTGTCACTTTTCTTCTGCAAAACAGAATTGTTCTCCCCATACATGTTATCGCATTTTAGAACAGTAGTTCCAGGTTTATCACAGGTTTTTTTTCAGATGTTCTCTTTCATATTAACAGCCAGTAACAGCACAGAAAGAGAATGACATGAAAGAGAGTGTTGTAGATCTGAGCTTAATGCAGCTCACAGTGTGTCCCAGGCTGAACCTGCACTTTGTGGTACAATGTTTGTTTTGTTTTATGTTTTGTCCCTGTTACCTAGGGACTTAGTAGGAGCTACCCAAACATACACTGCCTTCACCTTAGTCTGTCATGCATCCTGAGCTTCTGTCTCTGGATAGTTATCTCCCACCTATCTTTGTTGTTTCTTCTATTATGTGCTCTTTCATGCTTTGTCTTTATCCATTCTGCTCCACCATCTGTCTTTTACTCAAATCTTTTTCCCCTCCCTTTTTACAAATAAGATTTTTAGGTACACTTTTTTTTTTCCCATATTCTCTTCTGTCAAAGATTTTCCTGTGCTAGTTTCTTCTATCAGAAGAGGTTGTGGGAAAATAAGGATATTCTTGAGAAAAGCCAAATGTCAACCTGGTTGTAAATGTCTATAAGATTTGTGCTCGTTCTCCTGTCGTCTTTCTTCTCTCACTTGTCATTCTCTTTGTCTGTGTGTCTGTTTTTGTGTTTCTTCTCGGCATGTGCTTTTAAAGGCAAGAAAAATTCCATCCTGCAGCACAAGGTGCAACACGACCTCAGCTCTGGTGTGCTCAACTACCAGGAGAACGAGATCATCCAGCAGATTGTGCAACACGACAGGGACATGGCCCACTGCGCCCACCTCTTGCAAAACGCCCCACCCCAGACGCCTCCCTCACCTACCCCGGTCATCTGGGCCCCCCTCATCCAGGCACCTCTCCAGGCAGCAGCTGCCACCACTTCAGTAGCCATCGCCCTAACACACCATCCCCACCTTCCACCAACGCTCTTCAGACCTCCAGTTTCTGTTCTGGGATCCCTAAAAGATCCTCCCAGCCGACTGAAGAAGTTCCACACATTTGTTCCTTCATCCACTGCTCCTGGCTCTGCTGGGGACTCTCCTTCTAGCACACCTTCTAAGCTGCGCACTGGGGTAGACATGCCATTGCTGGCCTCTTTTCGGGCACAGCACATGTCATCAGGTTCAGGGGCAACTGGCTCGAGCCAAAATGCCTCAGGTAGCGGAGGCCAGCGTGGACCAGGTGGAGCCGGGTCTGGGTCCAGTGGCGGCGGCGCCTCTGTCTTCCCCTTCGGTCCGTACTCATCATCTGGTTCACCTTCATCTAGCACAGCCCAGCTACACCCACAACCACAGCATCAACAACCTTTTCGCTCCAGCACTCCACCTCTCTCAAACCTCTTCCACCAAGGATCTATATGTGGAAGCACAGGGTCAGGACTAAGTGGAGGGGCAGCTGGAGCCTGTGGTGGTGCTACAGGGTGGTCTTCAGGTGGAGCTGTTGGGGGTTCTGTGGAAGGAGCCACTGGAGGGGACATTTCTTGGGCTGGAGAGGACTTTACAACTGGGGTGACAGAAGTGACTCCTGGGGGGCACTTTGGGTTGGCAGGAGCAACTGGTGGATTAGTAGGAGGGATCTCAGGGGAAACAGTTAGAGGAGTATCTGAAGCATCAGTGGGTACTGCTTGTGGCAGGTTAGTAGGTGGGTCATCAGGTGGATCAGCAATGGGTGTTACCTGTGGTTCAGTACCAGATACAGCCAGGAGATCAATGGGAGGGACTTCTAGAGGATCAGTGGGAAGAGCTTCTGGGGGGTCACTGGGAGGAGTTTCTGGAGAACCACTGGTAATGACAACTACTGGAGGATCGTTAGGAAGGGCTTCTGATGGATCAGTGGGAGTTGTTTCTGTTGGGGCCTCTGGGGGAACGTTTGGAGGCATTTCTAGTGACATAACAGGAGGGAATCATGGAGGTTCGTTGGGAAGGGCTTCTGATGGATCAGTGGGAGTTGTTTCTGTTGGTGCCTCTGGGGGAACATTTGGAGGCATTTCTGGTGACATTACAGGAGGCAATCACGGAGGTTCACTGGGAAGGGCTCCTGGTGGATCAACAACTAGCCATATAGGAGGAAGTCCAAGTGGGCCAGGGGGAGGGCTGATTGGAGGACATATTGGCAGAGCAGTAGGAGGTGCAGTAGGGAGCCATATAGCTGGGTCTACAGCTTGCACTAGTGGAGGAGCCACTGGTGGAATTACAGTTGGACTTATCAGTTCCTCCCGTTGTCAGAGTCCTATATCTACCGGTTCATCCAGCCCTTTGCCTGGTCAGCTTCTCCATAACCAGCCACCTCCCAAGCCTCCTCTTGTGACTCCTCTGCAGCAATTTGCTGGAGGAGGCAGGACTACCAGTGGCTTAAACCTCTTCCAGTCCCCCCCTCAAGGCTCCCCTTCCTCAAGTAGAGGACAGCACAGTCAGCAGCCTGCTGAGGGCTCCCCATCCTCCCTCAGCCATTTTACCCTGGCAGGCCTCCAGTCTGGCTGCTTGCCTCACCAGATGTCATTGGAGAGGTCTGCCTTGGCTTCCTTGGCCCAGTATGGTTCAGCAAACGCCTCTCCCTGCCTTACCCCAGTGGCGCCCAGTCCCACAATTCAAAGCCCAGTGGCAGGCAGGACTTTCCACTACAGTGACCCTTCCAGTGTCACAGGATCCCACAGTTCTTTGCTTATGCCTCAGTCTTCTCTCCCTTCACAGCTTCCCAGCCAGCCACACACAACAGGGAGAGAGTCTCCACTGGGACGCTTTTCTGAGGACCTAAAGCTTTTATCCAGCTCACACCCATCTCTGCCCCAGGAGGTCGCCCAGGCCTTAGGCCACCAAACTCCTCGCTCCTCTGTGGAAACTGGATATTACCCCTCACCATTTTCCTCGCCTACTTTTGTGCCCAAACCCTGTAGCTCGGTGCCAGGGCACATGACTCCTCCAATCCAGATGTCTCCGGGGCACCCTCACAAGACTCAGTCCCCTGGGGCCTCCCCAGCCTTGCCTCTACGGAGGGGCTCTGCTGCCTACTCACCAGATTTAGAAACTCAAACTGTCCGCTCTAAACTCCCTTCCAATTTGTGAGGATTGATCACACCCTCCTGTGCTCCTCTGAACTGAAACACACACAAACTATTTCCATCTGTGGCATTCTTTTTTGTCTTCAGACTTCACTGTGTTGCACCTCTCATTTTACCAAGATTTTTAAAATTACTGTGATTTAAAAGACACTTTACCGGGTAACTCAGAGCTCTAGAATACTCTATATTTCTTTTATGCTTTGTCCTTTTTTTATTCATACATACTGTATATAGATAGAGATATATTTAAATGATAAGTTAATCAAAGGACTAGGAGGGTGTGAAAATGATCTCCATTTAAAGGACAGTCATTTTCTTTATTTCTATAACTATGCCAAATTCACCTGGGGATGTTTGGGAAGTTAATTTAATGGACTACACAATAATACTCTTTTTCTGCAGGAACCTATGCACTAATACCTGCATGTATAAAGGTTTTTTGTGTGTTTCAAAAAAAGAAAAAAAAAATCTAAATTTTTAGCTACAGCAACATGCTTCGAGACAGGCTGACTCTTGTACCATCTCATTTGGGATCACATATTGTTGATCCTTAAATGTATCTATTAGATTGTACTTATTTATTCTCTGTATAAACTTTTCAAAACCTTGAGAGATGGAGAAGAGATTTTAGGAAACCAAAAAGACTTTTCCTGTGGGATAATAATAATTCACCTCCTCTTGGCCCGTCGATCCTTATTTTATACCACTTTATCGTATTAATACTGTTTTTTGAAGCAGGGGCAGAGGGGTCCAGCGAGCTACCCTCCATCTCAATATTGAGACATAACAGTATATGAGCGACTGGCTTTCCGCAGAGTCCTCAACCATGTTCTAACAAGCTCACTTTGTCTTCCAAGCTCATACCGCTAATGTGTGTAGAAAGCATGTGTTGTTTTCCTTCCTGACTGTGTGCAACTGTTAATGTGTGAGTGTTAGTGAGAATAAGTGTGAATCAGTGGGACAGTCGGATGCAAGGCAAGACTTTTCCCTCGACTGATCAAAAGGAAGTTTGCCTTTTTACACAAAAAAAAAACAAACTAGGACTTCCATTAACCACAGCTTGTGTGATGCATTGCGTAGCACCCAGATCGTTCAAAGACAAAAAAATAGTCAAATATATAATAGCCCCAAAAACGACACTTTCAGTCATTTAAGGAATACAAAACATTCACTACATAAGCTGAAATATCATAAAGTGCTGGAAAATGAAATATGCCACTTGATGTTTCATTTGTGCATTATTTCTTCTACTGTAGCTGCTATATGGTCAACATAGACATGTCTTCTGATTGAAGGCCAGTGCTGAGTTTGGAATGTTGAATGTATGCACATTTATTATCGCTTATTAACATATGTACTGTAGCTATGGTAGATGCACTGAAGGCACGCTGCCCCCACAGGGTTAAGAGACTGTTCCATATCTGAAAAGGTACTTGATTCAATATGTTTGACAACATTTTCATCAGCAGCCATTTCTACTTCCAAAGTGTCCTTTAGGAAGACACAGAACCACTCCTGGATAAATTGTTTATGAGGCAATCTGGATAAGTGACTCAGTAAGTTGCCTAAAACAGCCCACTCTTTCACTGCATATGCTCCTTAAAGTATTGCTCTACAACCGCCCTGCTACTGTTACTCTGAGAGAGATTGTACCCTACGCAAAAAGAAGCGTTCCGTACAATGTAGACTGCATACTGTGCATGGAGCAGAGAAAATGTTGGCTTTGTTGACATATTTGGAAAGCAAGCTTTTGATCCTCTGTAATACAGTGCTGCAGAAGGAGAATGTGGTATACTTGACCACAACTACAAGGAAAATTAGCTTTTTTCAATCATTTATTCAACTAAAATACCAATAGATATAAAATTCTGCTAGAAAATAGGTAAAAGAAGCTAGTATTGTCCCCTTGTATTCTTGTTTTGCACAATTGTCCACCAGTTTATGGCATCACCATGCCAAAACCTTGACTAACTGCAAGATGTTTGCAGTAGTTTCTTGCATGTGCTGCCCCTTTTTCACATCCCCCTACAAGATTTTAATTGGATTCAGATCTGGGCTATGAGTCGGCCATCCCATAACCCTCCATTTCTTCTTTTTGATTCGTTTCTATCCTGTTAAATGGTCCACTTACGATTAAACTTCAACTTTCAGACATAATGTTTGAACATAATGCTGGACATGTCACCTTTGAAAACTCTTTGATATGATGCAGAATTCACGGTTCGATCAATGACTGGAAGCTGTCCGGTCTCTGAGGCAGCAAATCAGCCCCAAACCATGACATTTCCACCACCGTGCTTCAGTTTTGTTGTGAGGTTTGTCTCCTTAAATGGTCAAACATGCTATTATATGCTGTTACTGTGAGCAAACAACTCAATCTTTGATTCATCTGTCTGGAGCACATTATTCCAAAACTGACCAGCTGGCAAAACCTTTTCCTGACACACCTCGCATGCAGGTCAAATACCTGCAATTTCTTTCTGATTGTAGATGCAGTATTTTGACACCAGCAGTTACCTGCTGGTCCTGTGATGGAATTTTATGGTTCTTGCAGGCTTCTTTTTGCATCAAACATTCTGCTATTGGGCTGAATTTGCTGGAGCAGCCAGCCCTAGACAGATTGGCAGTCGCTTGAAATCTAAACCACTTGTAGACGATTTTCCTTACAGTGGAATAATTTATTTCACATAATTTGAAGATCTTTTTAAAGCCCTTGCCAGACTTGGAGGCATCAACAACCTTTTTTTTCTGAGAGCCTTAGAGAGCTCTTTAGATCTTGGCACGATGACACCACACACTTCAAAAGCAAAGAGAACAGCAGAGTCTTAATGGAGGTTCTAATTACTGGCACCTAATCTTGAATCCGTGATTCTATTTTAACAGATCTGAGAGTGACATAAATGTACTTATGTAATGTACTTACTATTTCCTCGTAACTGTTTCTTTTTCTTATCTCGTGTCATTTGTTTGACAGTATCGTCTTTATTAGTTGGCACTGTTTGAAAGGGGATCAAATGTTTGCGTGGCCAAATAAATCCAAAGGTCAACACTTGATAGATGGCATTTAGATCATTTAGATGTTTCCTGTCAAAACTAAAACACAAGAAAAAGGCTCTTTAAATGAGCATATCCATTTATAATCTGTTGACACACTCAGAGAGCCTCGCGGTGGTTAAGAAAACTGTATCCACAGTAGACGAAGGTATCACTAAATTCCCAGAGGAGAGGAGCAGTGATATGCTTCTACATGTTTGTTTGTAGCTCATCACCAAGACAGACCCAGGTTCCACTCAGACAGCTGAGTCCCAAACTCAGTCACAGCACTCAGCGACAGCAGCCTAATTTAACAAGACATGTCTGTAATCCCTTGACCCTCACAAGCTATCATGGACTCACACACAGAGGTGCACAGTGACCATGCTCTCCCCTCATTACAGTTCCCTCAAGTCCCTGTAATAAGGTATAGCAATACACGACATGATACACAGCTGCACAGGTTCCCATTTACAGACATGCACAGGCTCACACTTTGACTGCTAGTTGCAAAAAAAAAAACTTAAACAATCTCATTATTTTATCCACATCATTTGATGTTGTTGAAAATATCTTTTGCTAAATTTGCAGCAAGCAAATCTATGACTGATTCAGTTTCTGTTTTGTTGTTGCATTCAGGCCAGTTTATCCATCCAGTAGTAGTTCAGTAGTCTGAACCAGGTTTGTCATGAGGGATTTAACCGATGATTTTTGTTATTATAACTGCTGTTGCATTTATTTTGTTTTATTATTTTTTTACCCAATTCAAAAAACACTCTTCTTCTTCTTCACTGTTTATTCTGGAACCATGCAATTGTATTTTAAGTGGCACTGTGTTACATATGAAGGTGCAATGTGTGGATTAATGTTGTGATGTGTTTCCCCTGTTTTTTTTTTGTTTGTTTGGATAACTAAATGTCTAAAATGTCTAAATGTAGACATCATTATGTGGTACCACCATCATTCCAGTGCAAAATTTGTGCGTTGAATATGACAAGAGGCAGAATATGAAGGAAAAGGACACAGCAAGAACTTACCATTAATAACTACAGAATTACATTTCAATTAGTTTACATTATGTAGGTGAAAACAGTACATATGCATTGTTTTTATGTGGACACACAAACCTTTTCTTCTTGCTCCCGACAGAGAGAGACGGCATTTCTCTTCGCTCGAGCGTTTCTTTGTTCACCTCTCCTGCATCGAACACTTTTCCTACATCTGCAGCAAACGACTATCTGAAGCATTTACATTGGCCTCATGGCAGGACTCTTTAGACCACCATCGAGAGGGACAGTGCTCTGCGGCCGAAACGGCAGAAAGTAAACCTGGAGCTGCTTCACATCTGGAATATTGATTGTCTGCACACAGTGTAGGTGTTTAGGCCTCGATGGCTCCCTGCACGAAAGCAGACGGGCTGCTGCGCCTCACACATCAGGAGAGATTCCCCAGTTCTCCCCTCACAATACGACCTTATAAAGGCATGGAGTTGAAGAACAGTTTGAAGCCAGTCTGTGAGACAAAAGTGCAGATGTGAGGAGACGTTGATGCGCTGAGGGAATGATGAAGTCGGACACTCAGCCACGAGGAAGGCAGGTAGACAGGCAGGCACCCTGTGGGGTACTCACGCTGATGGGGTACTTGTGACATGTTGCCCCATTCTTTATGATTGTTCCAGAGCGCTGGTGGATGTTTTTCAGCACGTTATTGATTGGAAGGATACGAGGGAAAGCTTCGAGCGTTATTGTGTAGGCAGCAGCAAGCGTTTGGGTGTGTGGTGCGTTTCAGGGCTTCCTGCACTACCTGACAGGGTCGATGGCGGAGGCTGGGCGCTGTCGGCGGAGGGAGGGACGGAGAGGCAAAGGTCAGAGCTTAGGGAGAGATAGACATTGGACAGGGATTGATTAGTTGGCCTGAACTTGGTCTGGTCCATTATCACAGATAAGTGGTTTAGGGGAGGGGGGGGCGGGG